CAGCTCACAGCGGGTTCCGAGTCCGCGCGGGCAGTCCCGCGGCGGGGATAGGCCCCTCTCCCCCATGAGGTACCGCTTTGAGTGAGCAAATGGCTGCTGCGTCCATGCTGGGCCTGTTGGATTAGGGATCGCCATCAGAAACGTGATCGCCGAAGGAACAAACCACAGAATCAGTCAGGGTTAGGCTGGATATTAGGGAAAGGCTCTTCCCCCAGAGGGTGTTTGGACACTGGAACAGGTCCCCAGGGCAGTGGTCCCAGCCCCAAACCTGCCAGAGCTCAAGGAGTGTTTGGACAACACTCTAAGGCACAGGGTGGATTGTTGGGGTGTCTGTGCAGGGAAAAGAGTTGGACTGGCTGATCCAGCTGAGACAGGAGAGATTCAGATGGGGGATTTGGAAAATTTTTGTCACTATTAGAGTGTTCAGGTGTTGGGAAGCTCAAGGAGTGTTTGGACAATGCTCTCAGGCACAGGGTGGGATTGTTGGGGTGTCCTGTTCAGGTCCAGGAGTAAGACTTTGATGATCCTTGTGGGTCCCTTCCAACTCAGGATATTCTGTGATTCAATTACTCTTAGCAGGTAGCTTCCCTACTCAAGCGGAACGATCCTAGTGCCCGTGGGACAGGATTGGAACCAGATTGTTGTTGCATATCTCCAGTGAAGGGAGAATACACACCCTCTGGGAAAACTGTTTCAGTGTGACCCAAGTCAATTGAGTGTCTTTGGTTCCTCTCAAAAGAAGTACTGCGGCACTCCCAGTTCAGTCTTCTGCTCAATGGGACAACTAAAGATTTGGGATTGTAATTCTTAGACCTCATAACTGTCTGCACTTCCTCATGTGGGGTAGCACTGATCTCTTCTCTGTGACCAGTGCCAGGACCCAAGAGAACAACATGGAGTGTGTAATGGGAAAGCTAGGTTGGATTTTGTGAGCAGTTGACCTGCTCAAAGGTCTTAGAGGAGACAGGTATCAGCAGTGGCCTGTTAACATATGAACATATCAGGGCCTGCATTAATGGTGGGGTGTGCATCAGTCCTTGGGCAAAAAAATATTCCCAGTGTGCTTCCATCTCCTGTCCTCCTCTCACTCGATCTGGGTCCCTCAGGATTGAGGGAAAGGGCAGACTGTCTGCCTTGAAGGAGGATGTGTCACAGACAGGACATGTGGCTGAGGTCACTTGGTCTGTTCAGCCTGGAGAAGAGGAGACTGAGGGGAGATCTCATGGCTGTCTGCAGCTTCCTCACAAGGGGCAGTGGTGGGGCAGCACTGATCTCTGCTCTCTGGTGACCAGTGACAGGATCCAAGGGAACAGCAGGAGCTGTGTCAGGGGAGGGTTAGGCTGGATATTAGGGAAAGGCTCTTCCCCCAGAGGGTGTTTGGGCACTGGAAGCAGAGTAGTGATCACAGCCCCAAGCCTGACAGAGCTCAAGGAGTGTTTGGACAATGCTCTCAGGCACAGGGTGGGATTGTTGGGGTGTCCTGTGCAGGGCCAAGAGTTGAAGTTTGATGATCCTTGTGGGTCTCTTCCAACTCAGGATATTCTGTAATTCAATTATTCTTAGCTTTGCTGTTTTCCTGTGTGCAGCAGCAGCCCAGTGCTGGCCATTCCAGAGTGTAATCCCTGCTGTCCCGGGGCATGGAGTGAAAGGCAGTGTCTTCCCAGGGCTGCTGCACACAGGCTCCTGCCAACAAAACACTTTTCCTTGGTGCTTCTTAGGTCTGGATCTACAGCCTCACTTTCCAGATAATTCTGTCAGTGCAAGCAAGAGAATGTACAAAATAAACTTACTTGTTCTGGCTTCTTTCTAGCTACAAATTTTTTCCTTTCCAGGTTTCTGCTCATGGTTTAACAGCCTTAACAGCTTGAACTGATGTTTCTTTGTGCTTCTGCATTCAGAAGATGTAAAATATTCCTGTTCTTTATATCTGCCTGGTGGAAAAGCTAAATAAAATCAGAAATAGTCTTCAGTGATATTAGTAAAGCTTGAATTAATATTGTTAATGTAATATTAACTATAACTTATAAAATGGCTCAGAGTATTAGGGTTGCCTTTCTGAGTCCATCCTCAGCTCTAATTGATTAAGGTTTCTTTTATAATCGTTTTAAGATTTTTCAATTCATTTTAAGCTCTTTGCACAAGTTTGCTGCTGACAGCTTTGTCACAAACTAATATATTTTGGGGGTTCTTTTAAGTTTTTGAATCATCATATTAAAAACACATAAGGTATTGTGTATTTTTTTAGTACGTGTATAGACTTCTGCAGAATACATGTATGTAAGTGTTTAGCATTTAAAATTTTGATGAATATTGTGAGTTTTTAAACACTTGGATCAATGAGAATTTTTCCATGTAGAAAATAGGAGCATAGACAATGCACTTCCAGTTTGATACACTGACACATTTTCATTAGCATCCCTGCCTATTACAGGCACCTACAGATAATTAAACAAAACTGTAAGCAGCTACTGGATGGGGTTAACACCTTAAAAGCTCAGTTCATCTAAGTTCCACACCCAAAGACATCCCTGAAACCCCAGTGCAGGCAGTTCAGGAACATTCTCTCCCATTGGGGTAGGATTGTTAAGGCTAAATGCTAAGGAGAACTTAAGTACATCAGTTTCTTCTCTTTAAAAGACTAAAAAATTTTGACCCTTTCATATGGTATTCCAGACAGTAACCTGAAATTTGGATTTCCTCATGGTCTTGTGCTTCTGTCTTTGGGATGCTGGAGTCACCTGGCAGGGGAATGCTACCAGGTCCAGGGGAAGGACATAACAATATATGGGTGCGATGTAATGCATGTGTTTTTCCTCACCTCTTTTCCCAGCTTAGACAGACCATGACGAAGTTCTGTCAAGAGCATTTGGCTCCAAAGGCCCAAGAGATTGACCAGGAGAACGAATTCAAAGGCATGAGGGCAAGTATTGTGTGTGTGTGTGTGTGTTTGGAAAAGCCTCTCTGTGCTTTAGTCTGTGCATTAGTCCTGACAAGGAACTAATATGAACATATGAATTAGTCTTTCAAACTTCAAAGCCACAGAGAAAACGACTTTTTGATTTCCTGTTTTATCTTTTGTTACCAACTTTGAGCCACCTGGGGCAGAACCCAGTGAGGAAAAATAAGGGTAAAGATTGATAATGGTCTTGCTTGGATCCTTGTCATGGGATTTCTGTTTGGCTCTGTTCAGGCTCCTTCCTTAACATGTGCTTTGTGTTCTCCTGGCTCAGTCCCTTTCTTGGACATGAGTTTTCTCTCAGATTTGTGGTGAAAATATTATGTGCAAATGCTGAAATGTGGAGTTTGACTGTCAAGCTGAAACTTGCCTTCCTAATAAACCCAACAAATGCTGTGCCACAGGATGCTTTGATTGGGGAAAATGAAGGATCTGACTATAGTCTTTTATAAGCTCCACAATACTTAAAAAGCTCCAAACATCTGCCAGGATTTCCCAGGGCTCTGATGTTGACATTTCCAGGGATATATGTGTGGCTTTGAAGTGAAGTGTGTAAGTTCAGCCTGGTGCACCAGATGTCAGCCAGAGCTATTGAATGATACTTTTAGGAGTCCCTGGAGACTATTCATTCATAATTATCTTAGTACTGGACACCAAGGCCATGTGAGGAGTGCTTAGCTGTGTGTCCATCCTGTAGCAGAGGAGAGGCTGCAAGAAAGGAGCAGCCTGGCTTCTTAGTCCCAAGGATGTAGCTGCACTGCAGGAGCAATAGGTATTGATGAGTTTATCCCTGAGATATCCCAAGAATGAGGTCAACTCACATGTCCGGTGAGCTACCTGGGAAAACTTGTTATGCTGATGCCCTGACTGTGAGTCTGGGCTGACTGCTTGTTCTGTGTTCATAGGACTTTTGGAAGAAACTTGGAGAACTGGGAGTTCTGGGGATCACAGCTCCTGGTAAGTGTGTTTCCACCTTTTACCTTCTGCTGGGTGATTCCTCAGACAAAAGAGAGACCACTTAAACTCTCACTGTCCTGTTCACAGCAGCCTTGTCTGTAATGTGGCATCAGTTTTATCCTGTCTTTGTGTTTTAAAAGAAACTCTTTGCAAGCTCTTATTATTCTTCTGTGACTTGAAATCCTTGTTGGACTTCTGAATGGTTCCAAAATGCCTTTCAGAGTCTAAAAGCTATGCTCAGAAATGGTTTCTCCAGGTGTAACATAGGCAACTCAGACATGTTTGTACATCTCTAGCATGAAGGGTTTGCTGCAAGTTTTGAAGGAGAGCTAGAGAGAAAAGTATCCCAGAGCAAACATCCATGTCTAATGGGATAAGTACAAGGGTCTAAAACATGACTGATAACTAATGCAGAGCTGACCACAGCCAGCCAGTCAGAACAAAATCAGGGTGAATCTTATTGAGCCTTGTCCAGGTGGTGAGAAGTGTTTTGATAGTTGTTCTAGAGGAGTGTGGTGGTGCTGAATGCACTAAGGGAGGGTAATGAGAAGCTCTCAGTGGAGAAAAGCAGCCAATGGGGCCTTTCTTTCCCCATCCTAAAGTCTGTGTTTGTAGGTGTGCCTGTGCAAAGGGCTCTGCAGCAGCCAGCTGAATAGCAATGCATCAGAATAATGTCTCTGCCTCTCTTTCAGTGCCTCAGAGACTCTGCACTTCTGCTTGCTTTCTCCTTCTTCCCCATTTACTGCTGCTCCTGGTTTTTTCACTCTTACCTTCTTTCTTTTTTGATGTTGTGCCTGAGGCTTACAGTAGTTTTCCACACTAGAAATAATCCCCTCATGAGTCCTGTCCTTCTTGATTTCCTCAAAGATTTCTCACTCAAGCCCTCCTACACCCAGGATTTTTCACCTTGTTTTGGGTTGTGGAGTTGTGTGGTTCTTTATTGAGGTTGGTTTTGTTGGAGGAGGTGGAGGAGGTGGATTTAGGATAATGTGGATAGATAATGTGGAATCTCAGGCTCAATTAAATGGCATGTTTGGGCACTGGTGAATCAAGTCTATTAAGGGAGCAGTGTGAATAACAGTGTTGTTTGTTTTCTTCTTGAAACCAAGAAATCTGTGTTGTTTGTAATTTTCTATTAATTTTATCAAGTGCTAAGTGAAGAAATGCAAATATGGAATGATAACACAGGCAGGACATACGTAACCATGAAAGGACAGCACTGATCCAAATCATACCATGGTCTGTGTTAGGTGAGGAGGTGTCTGGCAGGGTCATTTTCCTGTGCCTCTTGCAGTGCAAAGCAGCCCTGGATCAGTTCTGCTCACAGTTACCTTTCTGGAGGCAATAGCACCAAATGCAGCCATTCTATAGGAATTCATACAAAACTCTCTTGTTCTGGCATGTGTAAGAAATTATTAAACTCATCTTTTAGGATATTGGTAGCAAATCCCTAAACTCTGGTTTGTGGTAGACAGAGGTGGTTTCAGAGGATAAAAGGCCCTGCAGATAAAGACAGGGGTCAGGAGTGAGGTGGGAGAAAAGGCAGCATGAGGTGCCAGTGCCTGTTGTGCTAATTTTGATGAGCTGAGGACAGCAGGTCACTCTGAGCATATTTGCTCTTACCTTTGTTGCTCTTGCTTGCAGCCTTCACACTGACAATGAGTAAGTTCTCCTGGGTTACCTCCCTGACTGCTTCACAGTGGTTATGTCCTGTCGTAGGTCTTCTCTTAGCAGCACCACCACTTGCTTCCTACCTGTAGAAAAAGGCTTTTAGGTTGGGAAATGACTGTATTAGTGTGTATGTCAATGTGTGTAGGTGTATATTTGTGTGGGCTGGCAGCTGCTTGAGGCATTTCTCAGCCTTCTCTCTGCCTGTCTTCTCTCTCTCTGTTCTACTGTGTGGCTTCAGTTGTTACCTCTAGTGTTAGGCTCAGCTCAGTGTGCCCAGATAGATTCCCAGTTATGACAACTATGCTGCTCTGTCTCACTTCATCCTCTCTGGAAATCCAGATTTATGGATCATTCTCCTTCTGAATCAACCACTCATCAAAATTCTGGTGTCCTGCACGTTTGTGAGATTAGAAAAAAAGGCCTTATTGCCCCATTTTCTGAGCAGTTTGAGGATTCCTCCCTTGTTTAGGGGCAAACACATGTGGACTTTACAGCCCTTGCCTGTGTTCCTTTGTGCTCCCAGCTAATACAGGTTGCCACTGGGTGATTTAATCTTTGTGGTAATATTCAGGTTGCACCTAAGGATGGTTGGCAAGAAGGACTCACTATTGTGCAATGTCAGTAGCATGTTGGAGATGTTTCCCTGTGCATGTTCTACACATAAACTATGCTGTACGGGTGAATTACTGATTATGCTGAAGAAATAATACCCTGTGCCTTTAAGATAAGAAAACTGCAGTTCAGAGAGGATGAGGAAAGCCAGAAGTGCTCAAGTCAGGGACAGTCAAGCCCAGAAGCATTCTAAGTGTCTTGGATCTCACTGGAGACTGAGCCCAGCCCTGGGACCTTGTGGGTGATGTGAGGCTTTTCCTCTCTTTCCAGTGGAATATGGTGGATCTGCCTTGGGATATCTGGACCATGTGCTGGTGATGGAGGAGATCTCTCGTGCCTCAGCAGCCGTGGGGCTCAGTTACGGTGCCCACTCAAACCTGTGCATCAACCAGCTCGTGCGCAACGGCAACAAGGCCCAGAAGGAGAAGTACTTGCCCAAGGTACTTGCCAAACTTGCTCTTCCCTAGCTCAATATTTGTCCTGTTAATCCATATTGACCTCATCCCAAGCCAAGGTCCATGTCTGCAGGCAGCACAGCTCAGCTCTCAGGAGCTATGTTAATAAAGGAGGCCTTGAGGTGATGATGTTCCCAAATTCCCAAATCATTTTGAGATCTCTGAATGAAAGTCACTGCTTTCCTGTTTTACATTCTCAATTTCTCACTACCCAAACACTTAGTTTGACTGTTAATTAACTACATGTGAAACTTCATCATCACTTGAGGCATCACTTCTGAGTTTGTGACTCAGAAGTGTGTTAAGTAGATTTCAGCTTTCAAATGCATGGCAAAGCAATGAGCACATTGAATCCTAACTACTGAGATTATCAGTGAAATTATCAGTGCAAGGACCTTGATGAAAATCACCTGCAAGGTGCAGTGTCACTCTCTCAAAGCACTGTGCAACCTGCAAATAAATTGTCCTCATTGCTCAGGTGTATTTTCATGCCTCATTCTCTGGCTTTCAATGAGCTGTGCATCACTTCAGCTCTCCCTTGTCTTGGTTCCTGACAGAGCACTTAAAGGTACTTAACTAGATTTGAGCAGGTCACAAAGACTTCTGTATAAATGCAGTGAGGGATTGAATTGGTTGAACATATCTTGAGGACTGAGTCTGGTTTTTAAAGAAATAAGAGATCAAAAGGAGAAGAAAGTGGATAAAAGTACACAGGGAGGGGGGAAAAGGCATGGAGAAAAGGGTAGGATGAAGTAACAGTGACAAGGAAGCAACAGCTATGCCAGAGCCTGGTGTGAACAGGCACAGGAGGAGGGTGTCCATCTGCTATTGCAGGGTGAGTGTGAGGGGACTGGGCTGTGAGAACACTGAGGAGAACTTTTCCATCCCTTCTTTGCCCCCTTGTTGGCCTTTTGTGTTCAACAGCTCCTGTTTGTGTACAAGAGCAGCATAAAGCCCAGAACAGGAGCTGGGACAGGCATATGGTTGCCTGCATGGCTCTTTGGCACCTCTCTGGAGACGTGTTTAGCAAGCAGGACTGTGCTAGTCTAGCTCAGAGCTGAGTCATCCTTCTCATCCCACTGGGGCTGGTTCTGTTCCCTCAGCACAGCACGTGGGAGCTCCCTGCTAGGGCTCTGCTGGAACAGCAGCTCTGCTTTGAGTTCTTGCAGTGACTGTGGAGGTTCAGTGCAGGAGAGCAGGCAGAGAGGCTAAAGAGGGAGCACAAACAATGCTGCTGGTCTTCCTCTTGCTTATATTTGTCTTTTCTTCCAGCTAATCAGTGGAGAGCACATTGGAGCCTTAGCCATGAGTGAGCCCAATGCTGGCTCTGATGTTGTGTCCATGAAGCTGAAAGCAGACAAGAAAGGTAAAGTCTGTCCTGTGCTGCCTGAGTAGAGAGCAGGAGTAAATGATGTCTCCTTGTAAATTCAGAGTACCCTTGCCAACACCACTGAGATCCAGTGCTTAGTCTTGGGTAATCCAAGCCATGTTTGCAGGCTCGTGCTGCCTCCCAGGAGATTCAGGTAGTGAAGGCACCAGATGGATGGTTGGAGGTCTGAAAGTGAAGTTCTGACTGGTGCTGGAGGGTGGTGGTGGGATGGAGCCAGTGGTGGGTACCTGAGTTTGTCAGGCATTTGTTAAACTGTCTTTGGACTCCAGAAATTAAGGAAATTAGTTTTCTTGAACTTGGGGAGGATTTGTGCATGCTGTTCATGTGGGACTTAGAGCATCCCTGGAAGCATCCTTAGGGCAACAGAGCTGGGGAGGGGTCTGGAGAGTCAGTCCTGGGAGGAGCAGCTGAGAGAGCTGGGGGGGCTCAGCCTGGAGAAAAGGAGGCTCAGGAGGACCTTCTTGCTCTCTACAGCTCCCTGACAGGAGGTACAGTCAAGTGAGGTCAGGCTCTGCTGCCAGGGAACAATTGACAGGAGGAGAAGGAATGACCTCAAGCTGTGCCAGGGGAGGTTCAGGTTGGACATAAGGAGGAATTTCTTCATGGGAAGGGCTGTCAGGAAATGGAAAGGGCTGTCCAGGGAGGTGGTGGAGTCACCATCCCTGGAGGTGTTCAAGAAGTGACTGGACATGGCACTTCATGCCATGGTTTAGTTGACAAGGTGGTGATGGGTCACAGGTTGGACGCGATGATCTTGGTCTTTTCCAACCTAAACAGTCCTGGGATTCTGTGCAGCCTGTTTGGGAATAAATGATGATATCAGTGTTGCTCTGTTGTGAGCTAACAGATTTCACCTCTTTTGCTTCCAGGAGACTACTTTGTTTTGAATGGGAACAAGTTCTGGATCACCAATGGGCCAGATGCAGATGTTCTCATTGTTTATGCTAAAACTGACATCAATGCAGTCCCAGCCTCACGAGGTATAACTGCATTCATTGTGGAGAAGGTAGGTTCAACCATTCTCACGGGTTTTAAAAGCCAACTCCTTCACCCCAACTGCCTCATTTAGAAGCCACATAGTTTTCCTTCCATAACTATAGCCCCTTGCTCAAAGGCAAACAACTTTCTGCCTGAAAGGTGGAAAAGGAATCTGTAATAAAATAAATGGTACCAGAAATAAAAAATCCCAGAGATCAGTAAACCTCCTGATGGATTTAACTTAGTGATTAGAATAGTTCAGTTACTGACAAAGCTTCCAGGCCTTACTCTAGGAGAGTCTGCATTGGCAGCTGTCCAGATGTATTTACTTGATGGTTATATGCATTAAAAATGGGTGCACTGGGTTAGTATGTGTGTGTTTCTCTGTTCATTTGTTTCCTTTGCATTTGCACTTAGACCTGGTGTTGTTCCCAGTTCACTTTACTCCCTCCTGGCACCCTGCACATACTCCTGTGGTCAGAGGATTTTCCCAGATCTCTCATGACTTTATTTAGTCTGTCAGAATTGAGATGTGAAATGTATTCTTACTTGGGTTTGCAGGGAATGCCAGGTTTCAGGACAGCCCAGAAGTTGGATAAGCTGGGAATGAGAGGGTCTAACACCTGTGAATTGATCTTTGAAGACTGCAAGATCCCTGGTGAGTTGGGTTGAAATGGTGGTGGTTTCCTGTCTTCTTGATCAGATAAATTGGATCACTAATTACACACATGCTCAGGCTGTGACCCAGAGGGCTCTGCAGATGCTTATCTGCTCTCTGGCAGCCTCCAAGGGAGCTGGTGGAACTGGAAAAGTGCAATCTGCTGGATTGCAGGGAGGGAGCACATCCCTGTTTCATCCTCACAGACTTAACTCTTAACCACTGCTTCTCCAAAGCCTCACTGAGGCTTCCCAAGAAACTTGCTTCCATCAGAGCTCCCACCTTGTGTGTAGTGAGCTTATTTGCCTTGCAGTTTTTTTCACTGGAGACTCTCCAATAGGCTTTTGGGTTGCCTGTGACATTTCTTTTGGGGTCATGGCCTGAAAACAGACAGCCTAACACCACTAGTTAGTACAGCAGGGCCCAATATAATAGACATTTTGTTATTCTAGTGGCTATTTTTGTTGGTAGAGAAATTCTAGCACTGCAATGCCAGCCATTTCCAAACCCATGGTTTCCTTGGCAGCTGTGCCCCACTGAATGGCTGAGGGGGTTTCAGCCTTGAATGTCTCAAGCCAGAAAGAAAAGTGAATGGGCTTGGAAGTTGGAATCCTCTCCCCAGAGAACACAGACCCTCAGACTACGGCTTGTCTTACTTTTGCTCAGGAATAAATCACTTTTCCTTTGCCTTTTGCAGCTGCAAATGTCTTGGGGACACTGAGCAAAGGAGTCTATGTGCTGATGAGTGGGTTGGACCTGGAGAGACTCGTGCTGTCTGGTGGGCCCCTGGGGTAAGGCTTTGGCATCTTTTGTAGGGTTATAAGGCCAGAAGGGTCCTTGGTGACCACTGAGCCTGGTGGGGCTGCAGTGGGGGCTGCACTTCCTGAAACGATGTGTCTTGGATGGAGAACTGGGATACTGGGGCAGCAGGAGAGGAGAGGAGATGCTGGAGGAGGTGGCTGGGGCAGACCCAATCTGCCTTGGTCACTGATTGCTGGTGTGTATATCCCTGCAGTGTGGATTACTCTGGGAATAACCAGCCCATTTACATTACTGACTCCTTAAAATCTAAAACACTGCTGAGACAGTCACACACTGGTTTGTTCTTCATTTACTCAGTCCTTGAGCCACCAGTAATTATTTGTACCCCACAGTCCTTTTGTCCTCCCAAGTGCTCTCTCTGCACTAATCCCCATGTGGCCAAAGCAACTTCCACAAAGCAGGAGGAGGATGTTTTTCCCTCTCCTTGTTCTTGCCTGGGCTTTCTAATGGTATTGGCTGGTATTCCTTGAGTTGGGGGCTCTGGAGATGTGAGGCAGCACACACTGTCCTGCCTCTGCTTCTGAGACAGCTCCTCAGGTCTCAGTCCCTGAATTAGAAGGTCAGACATTATCTCAGGATGTCCCAAATGAGTACAGGGGAGAAAAATAGCACCTTTGGATTTTATTCTTAGCCTTGTTTGAGTGGAGTTGTAGGAAGACAGCAGAATGTCACTTTAGCGACGAGTCCCTTTTTGTCTTAAATTGCACTTCCAAGGTTAAATTATTATTAATAGTTCTGCTGTTTCCCTTTTCCTGCATATTTGTGCTTTTCTTAGGCTCATGCAAGCTGTTCTTGACCATGCAATTCCATACCTGCATGTCAGAGAAGCATTTGGGCAGAAAATTGGCCACTTCCAGGTGAGGCAGAAAGAGAATTAGGAATTTTTGTCCTCTTACTTTTCTCTTTAAAGCTGAGAAGACCAAGAGCTCTGTTGTGAGGTGGCTGAAGGAAGGCTGAGAAGGTTGCCTGGAGTTTGTGCTGGGGCTGCATTCTGAGCAACCTGGGCTAGTAGATATCCTTGCCCATGGCAGGGGTTGGAACTGGACGGGCTTTAAGGTCCCTTCCAGCCCAAAACATTCTGGGATTCTGTGTGCGGTGAGAAGGGAGAAAGATCTGAGCCTGTTCCACTCAGGCTGTTGGTGGTGGGTGAGGAGCTGTGACTGATACCTGTGAGTCTGTGAAGTGACAGAGCGTCCAGCTCCCTCACGTCTGCTGAATCTGTGTCTTCTCCTGTGTCTAGTTCCTCTGAGGTAGTTTGGGGCGTGGGTGATCCCCCTCAGTCCTGTTCACTCATGCCCCTCGTGCTCTGTGCAGCTCATGCAGGGGAAGATGGCAGACATGTACACGCGGCTGATGGCGTGTCGGCAGTACGTCTACAACGTGGCCAAGGCCTGTGACCAGGGCCACTTCAACGCCAAGGTGAGCTTCCTTCCCCCAGGGCTGAGGGAATTCCTCTGGTCCCAGAGCCTGAGCAGAGTGGAGGTTCTGTACAATGAGCCTAAACTGCTTTTTTCCACACCCAAAGTGCCTTTTTTCACAACTGAAGTGTCCCTTTTTCACTCCCAATGAAAAAGAAAGCCTCATTTTACAAGGCAGCAGATTTAGCAGCATCACTAGGTGTTTATTGGAAGCCCAAACATGATCTCCTGGTTGATGTAAGGGCTGTAGTTGTCACCTCCACACTGTCACCACTCCTCTGTCAAAGGAGGGGACTGAGTGTTGAGCAGTGGGAGCACAGAGCTCTGCATCTCAAATCAAACCACATTGCTCTCCTGTGGCTATGATGGGCATTTGTGAGAGACCAGCTCCCCTGGTGCACTCTTCTTGTTTTTTCTTCTGTCTTTATGTGGCCTTTGCAGACCTGCCACAAATGATCTGTAGTGACAGTGACTCTGCTGCAGCTCCCTGAGCACTGGGGAATGGATCATCTGCTTTGTGATCAAGTAGTTCAGGCTCCTTAGGGGGTGTCTGTGGAGTGATGGCAAGATCAGGGCAACAGAGAGACTGGAGATGGGCAGGTGACACTTTTCCTGACTGTCTCATTGTGACTGTCCCTTAGGACTGTGCTGGAGTGATCCTGTACTCAGCAGAGTGCGCCACGCAGGTGGCTCTGGATGGGATCCAGTGCCTGGGTGAGTCCCTGACTGCTCGAGAGAGCTAAGAGCAGTTCTCTCCCTTATTCCACCCTCAGCCCCTGAAACTGGGGAGCAGAAATGACTTTGGCCTTGTTTTGGGTTGCAGGTGGGAACGGTTACATTAATGACTACCCCATGGGGCGTTTCCTGCGCGACGCCAAGCTCTACGAGATCGGGGCAGGCACCAGCGAGGTGCGCAGGCTCATCATTGGCAGGGCCTTCAATGCCACCTTCAAGTAACACCCACCAGTGGGGAGGCAGCACCCTGACCACCACGAGGCCTTTGACCACGAGGCTGGAGCGCACAACTCTGCTTCTCCCTGCTTGCCATTCTGGCACGATCACTTGTGGACTCCCTTCTGCCTGCTCTGTGAACAGATGCTGCTGGATCAGGCTTGGACAAAAGGAATCGGAGAGTGGCATGGAAGGAAAAGTTGTTTTTTCTCTTCTCATGATCATCCTGGTTCATGCTGTTGATAAGCTGTTGATTCTCAGTGTCACAGGGCTCATCCCACGATCGAGGCAGGCTGGTGAGCAGGGTGCAGCCATTGCTGAGCCCAACAAGCCAAAAAGGACAATGAGGGAACAACTTTGTTCTGTTCAAAAAGCCCTGACTGCCATTAACCAGTTAGCATTTAGCACATTGCCCCTGGAAGGTGAAACTTCCCCCTGTGACCTTCAGATGGGATTAAGAACTGCCATTTGGGGAACTCAGTGCCAACCACGTTGTGAGTTGGCTGGTGAACACTCAACGCATCCATGCACAGGCAGTGTTCTAGGTGCTGATTCCTAAAACCTCCTTAGACCCCACATCTATTTCTTTGCAGAACTCCTTTCCTGTTTGCAGAATTTCTTTCCTATTCCAGCTGCTTCTGGAGGCACTTTGGTGCAGCCCCTAGTCCTTGCTGCGCTGACTGACTGCCTCCCGCCGGTGTATTCACTCAGAGGTGTCACCATCCATCACTCTGGGGACACTTAGCACGTCAGACCTGTATTGTGACATCCGTGAATGAAGCAGGCAGGAGGAGGTTGACTTTTGGGGGTTATTTGTTTTCCTCTGAAGATTGTTTTGGCAAAGCCTGTCCTCACACTCCACCCCCGGCTGGCTGGAGCGGCCGGAGCGAGCACAGCTCTGGTTGTGGGTGATTTCAGTGCAGATTGTATACAGTAAATGGAAGTTTTTATCTAGCTTTGCTCAAGGAAATTGCACAGCATCCTGCAAGCCTTAAAAGTGTGAATCACAAATCAAAATGGGATGTTGGAAATATGACAGAACAGTTAATTAAACAGTTGCCATGTAGGCAACTCCCAGCAGATTTAACAAAAATCACCTCCAAGTGTGTGTATTTTTTGTTGTAGTTGACACCTGTCTGTTCCAGGTGACAATTCTAACACAGAATTTTAAAATGCCACAGATTGAAGAAAATTCACTTTCCTGAATCACTAGGTAGGTCACCAGGAGTTCATAAAAGTCACAAAGAGGCAGAAGGAGCTTCTAAAGTCCCGATGGTAGCACCTTCTTCCTAAAATTCATATTTATTCAGCCTCAGTGGATGGCTGTCACTTGAGAATTGTCCCAGGGTTTAATTTTCAGCCTCAGTCTCTGGCTGGAGGGTGGACAGACGTGGCCTGTCAGGAGTATCTTGTTGAGCTGCACCTGGAAATGCTGTGGAAGTGAGCCTTGAGGTGCACCTCACATGGGAAACACTCAGTGCATTGCTCTGTGTTAATGCAGGGATTCAGTTATGTGACCAGACATTTATGTTTTATCATAGAATAATTCCTGAATCACTGGATTCAGGTGTGATCCTGAATTCAGATCCATCCCTGGCCAGAGTGATGACACTCCTTCTCCGAGGAGAGTCAGAGCCACATTACGGTGGTGTGAGATTCAGATTGGTAAAAATAGGCTTTCCAAGGTGGAAGGGACCTGGAGGTTTTTGAAGCTGTCCTCTAACACTGGAGAGGTCTGGTGTTTTAATACACATAATAAATAATGCCTTCAGTGTGCAGGCAGATCAGCACCTTGGAGTTGAAGGTAAAATGAATCAATGTCTAACACATCGTGGGACGGGGGAGGGAGAGATCCATAAATCCTCAGCAGGGTTGTGTTATTCAAATCTCACTCCCTTCCACAGCAGCTGCCTTGGGAAAGGGCTGGAAAGAAGGGCTGGGGAGGGCTTTTAGGGGGAAAAGGGCTTTAATCTTTATACTATGCTAATAAAATCAGCTCTTTCTGGCCTGTGCTCCTGGGGGTTCCCAGGCTCTGGTACCTGGGCTGGCAGCACCAGCGTTGCTTTGCCTTATCCCTCCCTCCTTCCCAACCACACTTTTCCCCCTAATTCTCATTTAAAAACTATACTTTTACAGTGATCCATGTGGGCCTTCTCTGGAGAGCAGCAGGGCTAAGAGGGAAGACACAGGGTGCAGGGCCTCTGGACATGATCCAACTGTGTCTGCTCTGCATTTGCGATGGAAATTGTCCTGCTCCGACAGCCTTTGGCTGGTGGCAGGGCTGGATGTGCTGCATCTTCCCTGCTTTTCAAGATCCTTGCTCTATTTGCAGCTTGCTGGCCACTGAGCAGAGAAGGCATGGAGAGCAGAGGGAATTATTCATGAAGGTAACAGTTTATTTTAGCAGTGTGGGATTTGGAATGAAGTTCAGCTAGTGACAGGAAAAGAGGACATAGCCTCAAGCTCCACCAGGGGAGGTTCAGGTTGGACATCAGGAGAAATTTCCTGATGGAAAGGGTTGTCAGGCCTTGGAACAGGCTGCCCAGGAAGGTGGTGGAGTCACCATCCCTGGAGGTGTTCAAAGAATGACTGGACGTGGCACTTAATTCTCTGGTCTAGTTGACAAGGTGGTTGGTCACAGGTTGGACTAGATCTTGGAGGTCTTTCCCAAGTTTATTGATTCTGTGATTGATAAAGAAGTGGCTCCTAGCTTATTGGGAATGCACAAATGCTGCCTGTGCTGGGAAAGGCAGGAGGGAGAACCTGCACCCAGCAGAACCCTCCAGCTTGAACAGGTTCTGGGGGTGCTTCCACTGTTGTTCCGGACGTGTGAAGCCTCTGTCCTGGAGCAGCTGAGTCAGCATTGCAGATCATCAGTTTAAGTGATTTTTTTTTTTTTTTTTTTTTGAAGCAGTGAAACCCCCCTGGTTCCCTGTGCTGCTGGCTCCTGGAGCATCCAGCTCTGGTGATTTACATCTCACTGTGTGTGATCCAAGCTGCTCCACAGCTTGTTCCCTGTGGCTGAACACCTAATAGAGGAACAGCCTGAGCATGATATCCTGAAGGTGGCAAAGCTCTGGCTCAGTTTGATCCCTTCCATGTGAATTTTTGCAGCATTCTGCTGAGAAACAGCCACCTTGGACCTGTGGATGTGCTGATCTCAGGATCTCAGTTGGTTGCAGCAGGGCAGGTGTGCAAGACCAAGGCTGCCACAACACAGAGCAGGTCCTTGACCTGGTTTGGGCACAGGAAGGGAAGGGCCATGTCCTGCCACGGGTGCTGCAGCTCCTCTCCTCCTGCTCCTCAGCTGTACAAGGAGCTGTGATAAATACTGACAGCGCTGGCACAAGAAAACTTGAACTTGCTCCTTAATCGATCCCTTTTGCTCCACAGATCCTCTCTGGAGCTGTTTGCAGGAAAAGCTTTGCCTAAGCTGAGCTGGGGCACTGCCAGAGCAGGTGCTGAAACGTGTTTGATGCAGAAACTCAAGGACAGTGGAAGATGTAGCTGGGGAGATGTTCTGCGATATCTCCAGTGTCCTGCCTCATGCCCCTCAGGGCAGAAGGGACCACAGCTCCTTCCAGTTTGGACACAGCTTGAGTTTAAACATCCCTGTGTTTGCAGGGATGCCCACAGCGTGAGGGAGCTGTTTGCTTTATAAACACACCCAGGACATCTGCATTAACATGTCTGTGAGGTAAAAGCTGCTGCGGAGGTGTTTGGCTGCAGCGAGGCCACCTGGGCTTACAGCCCATCTGCCCAGGGAGCCACAGCTCCAGCGTGGGGCTGAGCTGTGGTTAAAGCAAATCTTGTCTTGTCAAGCAAGGTCAAACCACGCTGAGAGGTGCAGGATGTGGGAGAGGGACCCGTGTTTGCACAGCACTCTGGGCAGGGCAGTGGCTGTCCCTGCTCCTCCACAGGGACCTGCCTGTGGTGGTTTCCTACCACAAAAAGCCTCAGAGTCCTGCTGGGGCTCCCAAATGGGATTCCCAGCCTGCTGCATTGCTGTGGGACCTCCTGCTCCCTCCGTGGAGAGCCCCTGTGTCTCCTGCTCTGTCCCACTGCCTGCCCAGGGGAGCACAGGAACCGGTCACCCTGTTCCCAGGGCAGCAGGAGTGCTCGTGCCTGTGCAGATGTGGGGCAGAGGATGCGGTTTCTCGCCTGTGGGGCTGGTCTGAGGGGAAGGGAGTCTGTGAGGAGGAGGATGTTTCCCTCCTGCCCTGGGCTTTGAGCAATTTCAGTACAGAGTGACACATAACGAAAGTGTCATCACGTCCTGATTTCACTGTACAGAGATGTGCCGAGGCCAAGCCCCGCGGTGATACCTGAGTAACGTGGCACGTTGCTCCATCCCTGTTCACAAGCCTCCCTCCTGCTCCTGCCTCCCTCCCGCAGCCCAGCACCATGTGCTGTTCAAAACCTCTGCGTGTTTACACTCCCACTCGCCTCGCAGCCTCCCTGCAGCTCCAGGCTGCAGTTAAACACCCATGACAGAGCAGGGACCTGCTGCTGTGTCACCTCCGTGTTCCCACATGTGGCTGATGAGCTGGTTTCGTTGCCAGGGCTGGGGTGAGAGCCCACGAAGCCACATCTACCCACTGCCAGGGCTGTGGCAGAGAGGACACGATGCGATGTCCTGCCCAGCAGCTGCCCGACCGTCCCGCACAGCTGTGCCGGCCACGCTCCCCTCGCAGCGAGGCCCCCGCTCCTCCCAGCCACGGCCCCGCAGGAAGATTAGAAAGAGATTTCTTTTCAATCTATCAAAGAATTCACAACTGTGAAGGGGAGACAAAAACATTCTTGAGCCAAGGGGACAATATTGTGCGAGGGAGGCCCCGGGGGGGCCGCGGGATTACTGTAGCGCAGCGCGGGGTCGCCCCGCTTGCACCTGCTGTTTGCTGAAAGGCTGATGCTGAGCAACAAGCAGCTGATGCTGAGGCCCAGTTGTCAGCCTGAATGGGGGGAAAAAAGGCTGCGAGCAGAGCGCTCGCCAAAGGGAATGGCAGGCGGCCCAGCACCGGCGGGAGGAGGGAGCTGGCGTGGGGACAGCAGCCGGCTGCCCCTCGGCACGTGGAGCTCCAGGCAGCCCCAAAGGTGTCAGCCTGGCTGAGGAGCTATGCTTCCAAAGGGATCCAGGAGAAATGGGG